CATTCTCGCAAAAAAATTAAAAATAGAAAAATTGGCACATAAATCAGCCAACTTATTACATTTTGTAAGAGTAAATTGGAATAAAACATGATTAAAATCATTTAAAAATGGCAGTTACTTCATTAACAAATTTTTTGTATGCCATTTGGAAAGTTTCATGGTATTATGAACCAAATTTATAATGCTGAGATTATCACTTTCTATTTTGTTACCTTTACTTTCAAACATCCATTCTTCAACCATCTTCCTTAAAGAATAAAAAGCTAAGAGCTCCAATTGAGAGATATCCCAATGCATTGTCTTGATTCCAAAAACAAGCAAAAATCTACCATTAGGATCTAGAGAAACCTCTATGATTCCTGCCTCTCTACACTTTAGAATAGATGCAACAATATTAGCTTTAATCCATACAGGTAGTGGAGGGTTCCAAAATATATAGTGCAGTTATAAAAGCTGGCTAACTCCCCATTGTGCCATAATAGAATTAAAGTGAGGCAGAATAGAATTACTAAGAACAGTAAACCAAATTAACTACACCTCGATGTTTGGTTGTATTCATATTTTTATAAGAATAAGAAACTATTGTACAATAAATTTTAGAACAATTGAGATTACTCCTTGATTTTTTTTGCATCTAAGTACAACATTCAGCAAAAGAAAAATTAAAAAGGGATTTGAATACCCCAACTATTTAGTTTGATAATAATCTCATGCAACTCCTTGAATTCTACTAAAATATGTTGAGAGTTTTTAATTGCCTAGTACCCTTTAGGATAAACTGGAATTTCTATTTATTAGATAATCATTTGTTATAATAACATTACTACAAAATCCCCACCAAAACATATCCATATGAGATTTATGACGCAATTTCCTTAACCATATTGAATAACCATAATCATCAGAATAAATTTGGCTATAAATGCTAGTGGCATACTTATTTTACCTAAAATTAAAATCATAAGTTCAAGTTGAACTATAGGAAACTTTTGATAAATTTGAATTTCCTGAATGAGTTTAACCAAATGATCTCCCAAGAATTTTTTAATTCATCCTCATTCCATTTTCCATTAGACAAAAATTTTCCAACCGTCTAATTCAGTAATTTGTGATCCATAGTAGTAGTCGGCCATCTATCATAGCATCTATCAAGAATCTGTACATCTTTTAACACATTAACTTAGTCATTTATATACAACATCCATCTAATAATAGAATGAATATATTTAGCTCCATCATTTATAATTGTCAAAGTTGAAGAGGAGCACCATTTTATTTCAGCATTCCATAGATCTTTACAATATTTAGCATTTAAGTTTCGATTTACAAAGGCTCAAGTTTGTAAATAAAATTCCATGCCAATATGGCCCTTAACAGTCCAACTTTATCCATAGAAGAATGAAGAATGAGAACTACCACCTCCGTTGGATTACAATGCTCCTACTAAGCCATAAAATGAAGACCTTGTCTTCCATTATCTTTATGACAAATAAAGTTTATGCACATCCTATCTAAATCATTCAGCGCTCCAATAGGAACTAATGAATGAGTAGATAAAAAAACTTGGAGTGAAAGAAAAGTTTGTTTTATAAGAATTATTCTACCACTAATAGAAATAAATATATTTCCCAAGCATCAACCTATTTAGTGCATTATCCATTATATTTTGAAAATAAAAAACCATAAGTGTTCTCAAGGCAATCTTCACAACTAGATAAATCAGTTCTTTGGGAATTTTGAATCCTTATATTTTAGATCTCAAATTTTTTTCCTTAACAACATTCCCAAAAATCATCAAGGATTTTTCCTTATTAACTTTCTTCCCTTAATAACAACAAAATAAGTAAACAATCTTTTTAAACCTCTTAAATATTTTGTTAATTGTTTCAACAAAAATCAACACATTATCAGTGTATAGAAGATGAGATTTTTGTGTGTATTTGGAGTAATTTTAAATCCATGCACCTCGCCTCTTAGATATAAAGCATTAGATAATAATTGCGAACACAAAATAAATAAGTTGGGAGATAAAGGAGACCGTGAACAATCTAAAGCCACTGCTCGATTCAATCTAACTAGAAGTCCTTCCATTAATCATAATAAAAAATCTAGGATTATTTACACATTCCATAATGATATTAGAAAAGATTATAGGAAACCAAAAAAATTTAAGAACTTTAAAGTAGACCATCCCATGTTCTTCTAAGATTGTTCCATATCTATGTCAACAATCATTAATCCTTTCTTAGCCTTAGAATACTGAGATTATTGTTGTCTTCATGGGAAAGTAGCACATGATCTGACAAAGTCCTTCATTGAATGAAACCAGCTTGGTCCTCTAAAATGACTTTCGGAAGAAGAAAAAAAAATTCTAATTACCAACATTCTTGCAACAAACTTATAAATGGTCTTACATAGACTTATTGGTCTATATTTAGAGGGATCCATAGGGGTTTTAACCTTTGGAAAGTTAAAAATTATGGTGTCCTTCCAATATGGACACATCTTATCATATTTAAAAATATGTTGATTGCACTCCAAATATCTCCCTTTATTATACTCCAATAAGCATTGAAGAAAGAAGTTGTGATTCCATCAGCACCAAGTGATTTATTAATGCCCAAATGATTAAAAACTTACCTTAATTCTTCCCAATAAAATTCTACCTCTTAGTTTCTTACATGGAAGGTTATTCTATGAATCAATTTGTCATGAACTTGAATCATTCTAACTTTATATAACTTGAGATTTAGTTGAACCTACAACCACCTCTATTTTAAATTTTTGAGTTCTTCCAACTATAGCATAGCAATTGTTTCTTTTTTATTGTTTATTATGATGCACAAGGAAAGTAACAATCCTCTAAATTTAGAAAAGCCTCTATTCTAAAGAAAAAGTGAACAACATATATTGTGTTGAAGTTCTATATATGCTATGATATTACCATAAGTCTTCATCTGACTTTTAATGCTATTGACACTTGTTATCATCTATGATTTTCTTTAAGGTTTTTCCCAAAGCTTTATTCAAGGCCTCATCTAATCAATTTGCCCGTGGGAAAAAGATAGTTGATTATCACAAATATAATTTATAAGTTATAACTAACTAATTTATTTTAGTGCTTCAAAATGATGGCCCATTATCATATATTATTCAATGAAGATTACCAAATTAATATATGATATATAATTTAAAAAAAAAATAGAAGGCGATGTGCTTCAGGTTCTCCTAAAAGTACTACTTTTTCCCATTTTGGGAAAAAATATGTTGCTTCTAATTCGATCTTGTAACCTCTAGAAGATGGTGGATAGATTAGACATATTATATTCGTAACCTAGATTTTAAATGGCCATGAAGTTATTATTACATGAAGACTATTTGATAATTTGTTTAGAACCACACCATGCATCTTACACTGATGACAATAATGGGCAGTAGTCATACAATTTTCTATAATTTAAGGCCGATAATATCCAATCATTTAATCTTTATTTTCATTTTAAGGGCATACTAGTGAGCCGTACATAATTGACAATGTATCTCTTTTACTATATTATGGGTTTCTTATTTATTTAGACAATGGAACCACATTTGATCAAAATATCTTATGTACAAAGTTTTGTTTACCAAGGAGTATGATAATAACCTTCTTTTAATCTGGACAACAACTAATTTATCACAAGGATGTAGGGTATTATCTAATCTATCAATTCATAATCTTTAATGAAAAAAAAATTCACCTTCTCTAGGATTTTTTATTTATGTATATATCTATAGGTGACAAGATCTTGATACCTTTTACCTCTACAAGAATTAATTCTTCTTCTTATCAAGCTAATTCCTTAGCATGCTTTACTAAGGCATCTTCCATGGAATTTTTTTTCATGTGGTATCCAATACAAAGTCACATTTAGAATCTACTTGATTAGCTTCATTCTATACTGATGATATGGAATAAAATTTTCTTTTAATACTTTATAAATTCTTGAAACATGATTTATGATAAGATGCGGGTCTCCAGAGATCTTTACTTTTTTAGCATTAATTGATATTACAAATTCTAAACTAGTTATCAATGCCTCACACTTAGCATAATTTTTCATATAGGGTTCTATCAAATGATAAGATTAATACCTCAATCTTTTATTTGGATTGATAAACACTATACAAATTCCTGCTTTCCCTGTGGAATTATCTTATGGTTCTTTATATCTTTGATAAGATGCAGCAACAACAAAATATAACTTCCATGTAGATTATTTAATTTCTTCTAATTTTATAATCTACTCATATGGTAGTTTTTAATTTAATAGATATTCATCTGGAATTGGATACATTACTAGGAAATTTGTTAGGGCTTATCCCTTAACAACATGTAGAGGAATGAATCTAATATCAAATTGTAATAAAAACACTTAACGTTAAGCTAATCTTCTTAAGAATACTAGAGGAGTCATCAAATACTATAATGAATTTACTAGAGATATAAGTTTTATTCCATGAGACTACATTGAATGCCTTAATGTTTTAGACATTATTTCTCAACGGAAGGGTTTTTTTTTTTTTTTGTCAGAAGAAACCATCTACTCATGTAAAAAAGCACAATCTCTTTTCCTTCCTCATTAACATACGCTAATATTGTGCCAAGAGATTTGCTTAAAGCTATTGCAAAATGAATTAATGGCCTTCCATAGTAGTTGTATCCAAAATTGGAGGATTAATTAGGTATTGTTTAATAATAAGAAAAAGCTTTAGATATTTGTTGTCCCACTAGAAACAAAAATCTTACTTGTAAAAGGCTTAAAAATGTTGACATCTTCCCGATAATTTTTTATGTGAAGCTTCTTAGATATGCTAACTAATCTTGCAGGGATCTCAAATGAATGAGATTTCTAGGTGGAAGCATTTCAAAGATTATTTTTATTTAACTTGGATAAATTTCATCTATTTTTTTTTTTTTTTTTTTTTTTTTTTTTTTTTTTTTTAGTTGAAACCCACAAAGGGGCCTACGCGTTGATATAAATAATCGGTTACAAAGTCCTTAGGAGGTTCCTCCAGCTCTCTAACGCTCCAAGGAGCTACAAAATAAAAGCAAACCAAAAAACCTATGAGCCGGAGGATCCTCTTTCTACTGTTACAAAAATAATTCAAATCTAACATCGGGCTGTAAAGCAACAGCACCCAAAAAAGGAGAAGCCAACGAATCTTAAAACCTTTCAGCTCCGTTCTCCTGCAAAAATTGACACAAAAAAGCACAAAAAAAGGAACAAAAAATAGAATCCAAACCTTATACGAAGCATATGTTCCTCCGTTCAAAAACCTGCAAAAACTCTTCACTAATAATATCAGCATCACAGAATTAATCAGCTCAAACAAATAGTTCAGCAACCGTCTCAACCAATCCAGCCTCCCAACTTTACCAGAAAAATAAAGGGAGCCCAACAGCTCATACAGTAACTCAAACTTTTTGCCACTATTACTCATCCCATCATTTAAAATACCACTCCAGATAAGACAATACGAATAAGCAAGCTTAAACCCCCAACGAAGCTGCCAATACAACTGCCGAGAAAAGCAAAACATAGCAAAAACAAGAGGCAGACCCCACCAGTAGCCTAAACTCAAAATCCTCTTATAACCTTTCCAGCAACACCTCCAGCAATTACAAAAAGAAAAATAAGCTTCCATAAAAATCATAGCAGAGCCAGAACCCAGAATAAAAGATAGCCAAAATAGAGAAAACAAAAAATCACACAACCCAAACAAACAACACTCACCCATGTCTGAAATTAGGCAAAGCCACTTTATCAACTAATATCATACCTTTAAAGAAGATATCCAAATTAAGAATATCAATTTCTTCATACTCAACCAGATGAGCTCCCTTCTTAGCCAACCAGTCAGCACACATGTTTCCTTCTCTATAAATATGAGAAATCCTAAAGTTTAAAGTAAGCAGAATATCTCTAATTTTCCTCATAATATAGAAATTCCTAGCATTACCAATAAAATTCCTTATAATACTCGTGACAATCAATTTAGAATCCAATTCAATCCACACATCAGTATAACCCTCTTTTAAACACAACTGGACACCCAAAAATAAAGCATTCAGTTCAGCCCAAACAACATCCAACCGATTAACAGGAGCAGCAAAGCCAGAGATAATCTCACCCTGAGCATCACGAATAAGGCCACCCGCTCCAGCATGAGTTAAACCAACAGACCCGTCAGTATTCAGTTTAACAAAAGGGGGTCTAGGTTTAACCCAGTAAACCACCGCGTCCAACTGATTAGAATTGGCAATATTCAGCTGGATACCCAGCTTAACAGCCACATTAGAAGATTTAGAGAAAGTTTTGTAATTAATAACATTGCAAGAATACAAGTTCTTAATTTTCCTTATCACATTGTTATTAATATTAGTATCATCCATCTTAATAGTTTCATGTTTAGCATCATTACGCGCTTTCCAAATATACCATAAGATAAGAATAGGCATGAGATTAGTAATATGCCCTTTAGTCGAAGTGAACCAACTATCCACCATAGAAAACAAATTATCCGGGCTAAAATCAACATTTTTATTAAACATTGAATTAAAATAAAGCCACACTTTTTGCGCAACCCTACCATTAATAAAGAGGTGGTTAACATCCTCCAAATTAGAACAACAAAAACATTTCGACGCTAACATGAAACCTTTCTTTTGAAGAAGATTATCCACAGGTAGAAAACCTTTGAAACACCTCCACACAAAAGTCGAGTAAGTAATAGGGAAAGTATTATGCCAAATAGCCGAAAATCTATTAGACTTATCCAAATGAGTACGGAATTTCTCCCAAACATTATGCATATAAAATTTACCGTCAGAAGAAGCAGAAAACAAAATTTTATCCAAACTATTGATATTTAAAGGAATAGATAAAATGATGTAACTAAACAACTAGGCAATATCTGATTAAGTCTATCCAAATTCCAATTATTGTTGCTAATAAAGTGAGAGACCTTAACAGTCTCTAAAGTGTGAGAATTTAAGAAATTATCAATAGAAAATTCCCCCAACCAATTATCCTGCCAGAAAATATTCCCTTCCAAGGCCCCATTGAATATATTTTTCAGCATCCCATTTAATGTTACAAAGTCTTTTCCACGTAGGAGAGTCAGAATTTTTAAAAGAACACATAAGAGGATGCTTATTATGATAGTACTTAGCATTCATAAACCTAGCCCATAAACTATTATTCGTTCTAAAAGAAAACAAAGTTGTTGAGAAAAAGCAATAGCAGTGTCAACAAATTCTTACAACCCAAACCACCCTCATCAAAAGGACCACAAATTTTGTGCCAGCAGCCCAGTGAATAGCTTTATAAGTATTTTTAGATCCCCAAAAGAATTTGTTAATCATCCTCTCAAGTCTCTTGCATAAAGCCGTAGAAGGCATGAGAGTATGAAACAAAAATATAGGGATCGAATTTAGAACAGCTTTCACAAGCACCAAACGGCCACCAAAAGACAAAAAATTAGAAGACCAATTAGCCAATTTCTTTTGAATTATAGAGAAAATATTATCAAAAAGAAAATTTTTCTTTTTTACCCTTAAAAATCGGAAAGTACCCAGATAATTAATAGGTAAATTTTTAAATTGAAACCACACACTTTTGGTGCCAAAACCCTTTTCTGTGATAGACTTTCCCACCAAAAAATTACTCTTATTCTTACTGGACTTTTAGCCACTACATTTAATGAAAATTAGAAAGGAGTTCATCAAAAGTTGGATATCTTAAATAGAACCATTAGCAAAAAGAATGAAATCATCCGAAAGCTCAAGTGAGAGATAGGAAACCTTTAAACTACAGAAAATTAATGTGTTAACTTATTCTTAGCAAAAGATCATTAATACCTCTAGATAGATATTCCATAGCTATATAAAGAGAGAGCAGGAGAAATGCTATCACCCTTGTCTAAGAACCTTTATAAGATTAAAACAAACCATTTGATTTTTTACCATTGATAATCCAGAAAAGAAACAGTCCACACTATTCTTAACAATAATATAAATCTGACTAAACCAATAAGAAAGAACTTTAACAACAAAATTCAATCTAAATTATCATAAGCTTTGGTAATATCCAGCTTAAAGAATAATATTTCCCCAGAACTTTAGTATTAATTTCATTAACAAGTTCTTCGAGCAAGCCATTAAAAATGTTATCACATATATACTTCTCCCCTTAACAAACCCAGTTTGATTTAAGAAAATAATTTTAGGTAAATAGAGCTTAGTCTAGAAGCAATAATCTTAGAATTAAGTTTATTAAAAAAGTACACCAAACCTAAGGGCCTAAATTCATTCCACCTTTTAGCTCCCTCAATTTTTCGAATAAGAACAATATTCGCAATGAAAGAACTTAGGATACGGATTCCTTTAAAGAAATCATGCCAACAGCTAAAACAGACATCATCCTCCACAATGTCCCAACGACTTTGAAAGAACTTACGTTGAAGCATACGCCACCAGCATAGCATCACCATTCATGTTCCCTAAGAACATTAAAAATTTCAGGTTTCCAAAGTAATTGGCAAAGCAGAATATTCTCCTCAACCTCAAATCACTAGAATATACTCAGGATTAGGAGAGAGAAATACCGCTCATTACATTAAACCAGATTCATAAAGTAATCCACACCGACTACAAATTAATTTCTTCAGAATCGAGAGAACTGATATTTGTCCATTTATTAATGATTTTATGAATTTGCTCTTAGTCTTATTCTTGGTTAGCTAAAGCATCGGAAAAATTTTGGTATTTCTATCACCTCAGTAATAAATTTTGGCATTAGCTTTTTTTGATCCCCGCCAAAAGGCTTCCTCTTGTTAAACAAGTTTCACAAGATCATTCTTAAAGTCACTTATTGGCACTATTCACCTCGAAAGGATTGTCCAAAAAAAATAACTTCCCATTCCGTACACTTTTAGCCTCCATTTCCAAATATTAGAAAAAAATATTTTTTGAAAATATGTTATCTCCAATACCTCGACATTGTTTAAAGTCTAGCCAACTTAGCCCAAAGCCTTAGCATACCCAGAGAAATATTAATTCAGGGGAAAACAGGAGCATTCCAATTATTCTGAAGACCTCTTTAAATTATCATGCAACAACCACATATTAAGGAATCCAAAAGCATAATGCCATGTTGATTGTAACATTAATATTCAAAAGCAAAAGGGGCATGATCAGAAAGAGTTTTACTTAATGTTCCACATTAGTATTAGAAAAACGAGCTAACCAATCATTATTAAACAAAATTCATCTAATCTTTGGAAAAGATTAGCCCTATTCCAAGTGAAAGGAGAACGCAAAACAAATATTCATCAGATTGGCAAACATTTATCATCTCATTAAAAATCTTTCCATAGCTTTTATAATTAGGGCACTTACCTCCCCTTCTTTCATTAGCATTAGCAATATGTTTAAAACCCTCAACACACAAGAGCCATTAATATTGTTAGCAAAATTTAGCAATTGTTCCCAGAGAATTTAGACGGTTCAGTCTAGTGGCAAGGCATGTACACAAACGAAGCAAAACAAGAAATATCACCAACCATAAACTGACAATGCACAACTTGATGATAATCCATAACGATTTCTACATCAATATGATATTCCCAATGATCCATATTATTCGACATGAATTAGCAAAAAACTTAGGAAAACCAAAAATTTAAGCATATCAGCAATTTTTGTCAGGATGAATAAGAGTTCACTCAAAAAAGAAGCTTAATATTGTTATTCTAACACCCAATATTTTGACTCTAAGTTTGGAATTCCTTACCACCAATGCCCCTCACATTCCACATAAGAGCTTTAATCATTACCTTCTTTAGAACGCACACTTTGAGCTCTGTAGATTCTAGGTTGTAGCAGGGCAATAATTTTTCCCCTGCTTTCCTTTGTTTTCTTACCACCCTTTAGAAAACCACTCTCTCTCCACAACCTTGTTAAGCCTAAACTGAGGAGAGGAAGAAGTTACCTGATTATTATTAGAAGAAGAAACCACCTTAGATGTCGTATAACCTTCCCCTTCCTCATAAAATTTCCCACTGTAAAGATCAGAACAGTCATCCTCCACCATGTTAATATCCTGCTTAGACAAACAAAGCATTTTCCATAGTCACTGAATTAGATTTTACAGGTAGTTCACTTTAATTAAATCATTAACAAGAATAAAAAGTTTAGGATCTGGCATAATTCCTTTCCCTTATCACCATCGTATCATTTTCCCTGTTTTAATATTCTCATCAATTTCCCTGAGATTCTCCCTTGCTCATCAGGCATTCTCATTAGCAAAAAATTTTTCCATCATCATTTTAAAGAAATGTTGTGCACAGCAGAAAGTCAATTCCACAGGAATAACATCAACTTCAGCATTTATTCTTAAAAACTACCGGCACATAAAACTTTGTTATTTCTGCAGAGCAGACCCCCGCTCGGTAATGCACAACAGATTTCTTTAGCTCAGGATTTAATTTAAAGCAATCAGAGACCTCGTGTCCATGAATTTTACAATGATTACAGAAATCCGGAAATTTCCTCAAACCCAGGCCTTCTGCATATAACCATATGCTTTTCGATCCAACCCAAACTTCTTTCGGATGAGTTCTCGAAATGGTCCACTTCAACTAAAACATCTAGCAACAGAAGGCCTAGTTTTTTGACGCAGTAGCCTGATCAGTTTGAGACGGTCTACCAAATATAGAACCCAGCGCATTGCAAAACTTTATATTTAAAAAAATGCAATCTAAGGGTTCGGAAAAGATATCCAAGATCGGAAACAATCGGAGATTCCTCCTTAAATAATCGAAAAAAGGAGTCCATTTTAAAACACGATTTGACAATTTAGAATGAAATACGATCGCCTCGCAAAAACTCTACTATAGTCCAAATCGTTAGAAAGTTGGATCGCCAACAAATGTCTAGCAATCTAGAAGACCACAACAGAATAGAAACCCGAAAGCTGTCAACGATAAAAAGAATGCGAATAGCATCCAGATTAGGACGCCGTTAAACCAAAAATTACCAACTAAAGTATACTGAACGGAGAGAAGCCACTTAAGCACTTCTTCATCCGACCCAGTAAGACAGCAGGAACCACCATTTAAAAACTCTTGCTTAAAATTAGGAAAAAGTTCATCACCTGATGAAGAAGCACAGCTTTTAGAAAATCTTTAAACGATCTTGATTTAGAAGGAGAAGAGAACCTTCAGCATTCCAGATTAAAGAAACCTTTTCTCGAAACTTACAGCCTTATCCGGCAGCTTTCCCATGGATTAACCATGGGAGCATCGCCATGGAGAGAAACACCCAAAACGGGCAGAAAAATAAAGAACGAACACCAACCAGCCAGTTCTAAAGGAACCAGGCTCAGAAAGGAGGAGACGCCGTAGGAGACGAAGCGGCGCACGCACGGAGGATGGCCTAAATTCGCCAGAGCGGCGCTCAGCAGAGCAGGAGAGAGATCACGAATGCACGTTCCCTTTGAATCAGACCAAAAAAACTAGAAACATTCTAAAGTAATTCTAACAAACATGCTTTTAGGGGTTCATTTAGATTAACTTCAAAGGCATTAAAAAAAAACTTCTCAGTATTAAAAATAGTTCATAACCCTTTTATGACTTTTAACCAAACAAGATCATCGATAAAATTTCACCTACTGGTGGATAGGTTTGTTAAATATCCTCTTCATTTCAAGCAGATATGTTGCTCGACTTTCTTTAGTTCATGGTGTCATAAACCTTATAGTAGAAGGCTCTATCAGGTTTTGAATTAGTATATTTTTAATCTTTAGTTGCTATTTAATTTGATATAACTAGATGAAACAACCCATAAGGAGAAATATTATATTGAGAAAGCAATTCTTCCCTGATTTGTCTGGTATAGAGCAGAAACTTGTCTTCAATACAAACTTTATTTTATTATTCTAAAGTATAATAAACATGAATTTCATGATATTCTTCTTACTAGATAATTGTAGCTAAGCATGTGAACATTTCTCTGTCCCTGATGAAAC